GCTCTGCAGACACAGAAAGGAAGGGCTGCTGTGGCAGGAGAGCTCACCAGAACGGGGCAAACACCTCCCTCCTCTCCAGATCCAGGCAAAAGGAAATGCAGTAACTCGGGAGGAGCCCTGGGCTCCCGCCCGCGGGACCCACCGGTGTAGGGCAGCAGGGACTCCACGGCGGGTTTGATGCCCACGTACTGCAGGAGGCTGTCTGGTGCCTCGTGCTTCAGCAGGGTTTCCATCACAGCCTGGGCCTCGTGGCAGTTCCGGGAGTTGGTATTCCATGTCACCAGGAATGCTAACACGGCCTCTGGGGAGGAGGGAGGGTTGTGCAGCCCGGCTGTCCCCACGCACGCGGGACACTGAGCAGCTCAGTTCTGCACACTGGGACTGAGGAGCCAGAGGGGCAGAACCAGCCTGCACTGGAGTGTTTCTGGAGCTGTCACAGGGACATCCTGCACACGGGGGTGGCAGAGCCACTCACACGAGCTCAGAGCAGCTGCTGGCACCATGAGCAGCACCATAACACAGACCCTGGGCAGCAGTCCAGCTTGAGGGTGCTGGAACTCAGTGGTGAACACTGAGTCTAGGGAGACTCCTCTCCATTTATTTCACTTAAGGAAACAACCCCTCATCTGAAAGGTTTTAGCACTTTGCAACAAACCTTTCTGATCCTTCCGGAGCCGAACAATGTTCTCTTCCAAGTGCTTTCTCCCATCAGTTTCCTTGAGGATGGCTGTGGAAAAGAGAAATGAAGAGTCCATGCAGGAGTGCAGCCCCTGCACCCACTGACTGAGAGCAGGGAAACCCTTCGTTATCAGGGTGATTTCACTTGGGAAAACATGAGTGACAGGACCAAGGGAATACTGAGGCTTTTGGACAATTAGACATTATAGTCCATGTCTACCTGGAAGGGATGTTCTGGAAAGCAAAAGGCAGAAAAACACCTTCAGGTGGACTCACCTTTGATCACCATCAACACTGTGTGTGGACGATCCAGAGAGATTGCCAGCCCTAAAGCTTTGAGGTATCTTTTCTCATGAAGCAGGTTAGAAAGCTCTTGTTCTCTGGAAAAAAAAAGAAATCAGAGGCAAGAGAGCAAGACAAATGTTTGATTGGTGGAACTAAATGCTATACAGAAAGCAGCAGATTTGGCAACAACAGCGTGTGGAGGTTTAATGCCAAGCAGTTAATGCTGGTTGCCAGTCAATGCCTCAGTGCCCTCGTGGTGCAGATAATCACCCTGGCACGTTCTAGGGCTCCCTGAACTGCTCAGCAGG